TAAACCACATGAGCATGCCTGCTGCTTCCTGAATCAGGACCTCAGTGATAGCTAGTAATATGTACGGTATTGCTGGGCAGAGAGATAGACTCTCAATTGCCATCTTTCAGCACTTAATCAGTGGGACTGTGAATAGTTGCAGCCAGTGAGAACAGATGTAGAAGTGTGACCCATCTTGTGGTGAAGAAGTCTGACAGTAAAAGCTGTCATTTACCTCACTACAGCAGCGTTATAAGTGAAATTCACTCAGAGGTGAAAACTGCAGGTACAAAGAGTTTTGCATTGCTGCTTCTTACTTCAAAAGTATTGTGAGACTAGTTGGATGTTTTTTAATATTGGTGGCTCTATAGCTCTTTTTCAGAAATAAACCCTCCCCAGGGCAAATAAGGGAATTTTCTTTTAAGAAACCACTACCACCGGTTATTCATTTAAGAAAAAACGAAGAAGGAAAAAAAAAGTGTCTTCTAGATGAATTGGAACAGATTCATGAAGTACATATAAAAAGCTGATAAAATAACTTATATTTCTCTTTTATAGGGCCTTCCTGGCAAAGATGGACCCACAGGCCCACAAGGACCTCCTGGCCCAATGGTGAGTATTACCCATAGAATTTGTTACTGTAAGTCAGCAGGATTTTGGGGGATTGTAGGTCGCTGTTATCTAGGCTTCAGTGGATAGACCAAGGCCAAGGGTTCTCCTTGGAAGTTAAAATTCTCATGACGCATGGGGTTGGCAGAGAGATGCTTGTCCAGTGTCATTTCTTTCCACTCTTACGTAGCTCAAGAAAAAATATCTCCCATGGGAAGGTGGGACAGTTCCATCAATAGATTGATAGCTTGTTCCTAGTCAAGTAAAGGCACTATATAAAGGGAATTAGTGCTCTTAACATGTGAACCAAGACTTTCTTTTTGTAAGAAAATCCAATTAGGTTCGTTAGTTGAAGTGAACTGCCAAGTTTTGCTTGGTCTGGAGGCTGGAGGTAAGTGCAGGTATTCAAATGCTCTCATAGAGTAATCAAAGAAGACAGCAGAGGCCACATTCAGCCTTCAAAGCAAGATGTATGTTGCCTCCAGATTCAGTCTCATCCTTCTCAGCTACGGCAGCTAGGCAAAGTTAATACCTTCTTGATAGATTTAAGACGTTAGGTGAAACTGCTGATGTTACTGACTATTCTCCAAGCAATCCTGTTCTTTTTACAATGAATGTTCTAAGTCAACCCCCCTGAACACAGTAGTAATGTAACAG